TTGCGACGAGAACTCGAGCTCATACCATGTCTACGGTGCAACTTGATCATTTCTATCTCGGTATGACCTTTAAACAGATGATAGATCTGCCCCAAGCTGGAAAACGAGGCCACAAAGGGACCGGGGATGTCCCGGATGGAGGTGAAGTAGCGTCTTTTCACTGCCACCAGGAGGACGAATCCTACCACAGCTGCAGCAAGGCCCCCGTGCCCGAGGTCGAGAAACCTCTGCAAGGGATCAGGAAGAATTCCGGACTCGCCATAGGGAACAATAATGGATATGGTGTAGGGAGAAAACAGATACACACTCAGCAAGATAGGCTGGTGGGTTCCTTCCATCCCGCACCTTGCTATATTATTACGGAGCAATAATAACAACAACATTAAGAATTGCTCCCCTTCGTTCCCGCCCAAGCAAGACGGGAGCCGTTGAAAACTCGTGACGTGGGACACCAGTTCTAACCTGGCCTGGACAGGGAGTTAGAATGTGATATGCTACTCGATGCTACCCCGTCTGACACACGGCCGGTCCGTGTCCGTTGACAAGACGATCCATGCAAATGGTTCCCAGACAGCTAGCTAGTGGAGCTGGGACAGCAGGCAGGAGAGCTCTGTATCTTAGCTGCCTTAATGACAGGAGTCCGACCCGTCTATTGATCTGGATCCTGCATCTAGCCCGAGAAGTCCTCAGACCGTATATAGGGAGTGCAGAGGATAGTTTCATGGTGATTGGTTAAAGATAATCTTATTTTTAATAAGCACAATACAGTCTATAACACACCATCTGGATTGAGAATCTGTCATTTGTAGGGGAGTTTTATTCAAAACTTAGTTGAAAGGTGGTCACCTGTCAAATCGGGACTGAATAATAATGCCCTTGTACACTTTCTGCAGGCCAAGGATCAAGACATGAATTGGGGTTGTATCCTTCATAGTTTATCACTTATAATGGTGATTGTTTCTCTTCAATCAAATCAGCTGAATCACGGCTTATGCCTGTCCTCTCGAAGAATCAGAGCGGTGCGGTTCTATATTTTCAATACAATAGATTCCTTTGCTTGCATTGGACCATCTAGCTCTCGCCATGGTGTCGGCAGGAACTTCTCCAGAGCTGACCCCAGCATTTCTCGCACAAGATCGACGCTCTGCTGCCATCGTTGGCATGTCCGTAGTAACTGCATTGTCGGCAGTCGTCGTTCTTCGCATCCACGTGCGTTGGCGATTGATTCGAAGCTTTGGCTGGGATGATGGCCTTATTGCTGCGGCCATGGTAGAGCTACCAATTAGTCTCAATGCAAGCTGACGCGCATTTGACTGATAGATGATCCGCAGTTGCTGAGCTTTGCAGTTATGGCCCTCTCCTTTCAGGTGTTACGGTACGGGGCTGGTCGACACATTTACGCTCTCGAACCGGCGGAGATGGTCAAGCTGTACAAGTGGCTCGTTGCAGCTCAGTTGGTGTATATGTTCTGTCTCTGGCTGTGCCGGTTGTCCGGCCTGGCCTTCTATGCCCGCTTGAATCAGATGCCGCGATTCAAACTGTATCTTCGAATTTCGTATGCTTTTGTCACGGCCGTCTTCATCGCCCAGGTTCTGATCATTGCGCTGCAATGCATTCCTCTTGCAGCGCTCTGGGGCGAGGCAAAGGGGAGATGCTTGGGATCCAAAGCAGTGTGTGTCAATTGCTCTCAGTCAAAATATCGGTATGTAATATGAAATGGAGCAGGTGTTGTGAGAGGTCAGTTATTGTGACTCTCTTGTGTTATATGGCCTAATAGTACCAGATGTGACTGCTTGAACAAAGAATGTTACCCATCAGTGCCTAGTTGTTGCCATAATCCCAGGAAGCTGCCTGTGTCCAAAACTGCCCGGCTCAAAGAGAAGCTCAACAACCTCGTAACACTGCTGCGAGCAGGTGCGACCACTCTGAAAGACAAACTGGAGCATCACAGGAGAATAATGTGACAAGATAGCACGACGAATAATCTTCTTGCAAATAATCACTATCATCCTGCTAAACCAGCTGCGTTGTCCCTGGGAAAAAGAAATAAAAGAGTAGATATAGCACCTAATTAATATTATTATTATCTTCTTAATATTCCTTCTTAATAATCTATTAGGTTATATTTTATATATAAAGCTGAGATTGTACCTTAAGTAATACCAAGAGTAATTACTAGTTAAACTCAATGAAGAGAAAGAAACTTACCCTAAGGGAAACAGCAAAGTCATTCTTATTAACTAAGAATTAAGAGAGATAGCAGAAGAATAAAAAAATTAGAATAGCGAAGAAAAGAAGAATATAGACTAATTTGAAATCTTTCTAGTAGATATTATAGGAGCAGCCTAGTACTGTATATTAGCTTTGCTAGATATAGAGATGTTAGACGGTTACACTCGTTGGTTGTACGGGAAATATCCTCTTCATTGATGGTCTTTCCTCTTCTTAATAATGTAGTGGTGGAAAAGCTTAGGGGAAAAAAATTATATTTCTCCTGCTTTCAGCTAACAAACAGTCACTGTGAGGATATCCTGTCCATATCTATCGCTATATCATCACTACTCCTTCAAGAATCGCCCCACCACCTCAATATACCGCTCGCGCTCCTCCCACATTGGCATGTGCGCGCTCTCCACAAAACTGACCCATGTCGCCTGGTCAAGAGCCCGGAAGAATGGCTCCACGACGCTGTCCTGCGCCTCGTCGTACCGCCCGTTGATCAGCAGAGTCGGCGTCTTGATCTTGTGCAGCGAGTCGAGGATGCTCCAGTTCTTCAACGAGCCGACAATGTAAAATTCGGATGGGCCAAGCCTGTTGCGCCGTCAGTAGTTTGTTTCACCCAGTTCTACTTTCATTCCGCAGCGTACATGGTCAAATACACCGTCGGATCCTTCTTCGTCGTCCACTCCAGGCTGGCCAGCAGCTCCTGCGGCCACGGATCCAGACGACACACGAAGCGAGTCAGAAAGGCCATTGTCGCCTGCTCGTACTCCTCCGAGTCGGTCCGCCCCTCCTCCTCGCACTTCTTCAACACTTCCTGGACATCAGCCGGCAGCGTCTCCCGCAGTTTATTCACGGCCTCGATCCAGTGTCCCAGGTCGGCCGGCGAGTCGGACACGACGAGACGGCGGAGACCGGCCGGTTGCCGGCGGATGACGAATTCGGCAGCCAACATGCCGCCCCAAGAGTGTCCCAGCAGGTCGAATCGGCCCGAAATGCCCAGATGCTGCAGCAGGTTCTCCAACTCGGCGACGAACATGTCGATCGTCCAGAATGCCTCGTCGCCCTTCTTCTCGGGGTAGTGCGTCGAGAGCCCGTTCCCGATCTGATCGTACAGGATGACGGGGATGCCGAATCTGGTGGCCAGATCGGCCAGAGGCACCATGTAGTTGTGAGGGACGCCCGGTCCGCCATGGAGCACGACCAGCGGCACGACGGAGGGATTGCTCGGGTCCAGCTGGCCGTAGACGCGATACCACGTCTGGGCGGCAGAGGGCAAGGTCGGGAAGGTGAAGGCGACGGTGCCTTCACGCACAGTTGATGCAGCCATGCTGGATGTTTGGACGTTGATGCTGGAGTTGGAGTTGCGGGTGTTGGATCTTGCTTGTCGGAGAATCGAGAGCTGAAGCGTCACCCAGGCGAATGCCCCGCACTACTGCTCTGTCCAATCCGTTCCTGTTACTCGACAGGGAAGACAACTACCTAGGTACAGTCAGACAGATATTAGATTCCCGTTGTTGTTCAGTTCATGGCATTGAACAATCTCATCTCACCACGTAGTAGAGCCGTTATTCTCACTGCACTGCCGCCATTGTATATTTTCGCAGAGAAAACTGTCGAACAGACTGGCCCTTCTCGTTATCCACGGACTTCTTCATGCTGTTCCTCCGACGGAAGCCAGTGAGACGCCTGAGGCTGAGCAGCGCAGGTAGTGACAGGGAGTGGCCGGTTCACGGATAACCGATCGTTCGAAGCGACGATTGTAAGATAGACGCGACTGCTTTCTGTGTTGCCTTTGTGGATGATGTTTCTTACCTTCCTCCAAGTTTTCACTTTCAAATCGAGTCGAAGAGCTGAACGCGTTCGTGGTTGAAAAAGTTGTGAAAGTCTCCCACGAAGGGCTCTGCGGACTAGGCCTAGAAGGGAAGCGCACGAGTGAACTTCGACGTTCCCTCGGAGCATTTTGTCCCTCAGAAGCAGTTCATTTCATCTTCCGACTCCAGAGGTCTGGATCCTGCAATCGCGCCTTCGAAGGATTATTGCGAGCCAGCAGCCTTTCCTATCCCGGCAGGTGGAATCCCCGCTCCAGCGATCGCGCGAATATGGCGCCATCACGCCATCGCGATCCCAGCCTCACCACGCTGACATCCATCCCCATCTTACTCTCTGCGTCTGGTATGATTACTACTTGATTACTACTACGGAATACTATTGGGGACAATGTTTGAATGGCCTGATCTGTTGCTGACCACCTGCAGTGACTGGCTAGCGACATGCCATTGCATCCTTGATTCCATATCTTATCGCTATCTCGGGAACCAGCATACGGAGTAAGTGCCTGATATCTCCAAGCGGCTTGCATCGGCTTCTCGACTTTTTCACCTTCTCAAACGGGCTATAACTGTCTTCCAATTCATGTTGCTAGGCGATAGTGCCATGCGCCACCACGGCGGGATGTTGGTGTGTTTTTGGCACTGAAGCCGATGTCGTGATCGACGGCGGGAAACCATCTTCCCCACGCTGTCTTGCCTGGGCTCCCTTTCGCGACTGTTGGACGAGTCTAGAATATTTCCGACAATAAAAATTATTATTTCAATCGCAGACGCGGTAACTTAATCAACAGCTTGACCGCGTGACGGCCCAGCTTGGAGTCTGAGCGGCGGGTGGTGATGGGCTAGCTCGTCTATAGCGATTATCGCCCGCTCCTTTCCAGCGACAAAGGCTTCTGGCTATCGTTGGTCGGTCGAGCAGCGCTACAGGAGTACGATCAGCTGTTAGAGGAACCAATTTCCTCCGTTGAGACAGAATCCCTCCAGTATATCAGATGCGATTAACCCATGTATGCCGGATCAGTGGCCCATCAAGTTTTGGGCGTCTTGACGTTGCATTTTCCTAGCGTCGTCGACATCCATCTAGCGCCTGTCAACCAACCAGTGAAGTGACCGACATGAACATTATCCCCCACGATGGCAGGCACACGACATCAGGCCCGTGGATTTGCCATGTCGTGCTAAGGCCCCGCTAAGCAAGAATAGCGTTGGCCCGGGCTCATCTAAGACAATGCTTCGACTCTCAGCAGCCAGTGAGCAATCAGCGCTGCGTCCGGGCTCTCTTGGCGCATATTCCTTATCATTGGCCACGCTCTGCCTTGACCATCACGGACTATTGACAGGATGAGATGGCGGATCACCACAGTCCTGCCAGTCAGTGCGCTACGATGCTACCTACACGACAATGCTGCGAAGACACAGAGATAAAAACGGCGGCTCTGCCCATCCGAGCAACTATCCTCCTGATGTCGGCTCGAGTGTCTACTCTGCTCACTAGCAGTCATTCCTGTGAAAACTAGCCACGATGTGTATGTTTCATCGCTCCTCTCTGGGTTTCCGTTACTCACTTGCTGCACACAGCTGGCAATGCGGAGGAACATGCCACCGGCGACGTAATTGCCGCGACCGTCCCGGAGGAAGCGACCGAGCCTCGTGGCCAAGTCGTTGCTGCTGACTTGAAAGATGAGGAGCACGGAAGCTACAGCTTGTCCGACGACGGTGACTACCCAGCCCCGACGGAGGAAGAAAAGAAGACTCTCCGGAGGTAGGAAATATCACCTCTTTGATTGAGCAGATATGATTGACCAGATATTAATGGCAATTTTTATCAGGGTCCCAGAGAACCTTCCACTAGTATCCTATGCTCTCTGTCTCGTCGAGTTTGCGGAACGTGCCTCATACTATGGTGCCCAGACGGTTTTCTCAAACTTCATCGAGTTTCCCCTGCCCAAAGGTCGGTCTTTCTCTTGCCTAGAGGTTGGAAGCTTGCTAACAAATAAGCATAGGTGGCAATGGAGCTGGTTCTCCACCAAGAGGTTCAGAAGAGACCGCGGGCGCTTTGGGCATGGGGCTGCAGGCAAGTCAGGGGCTTGTTCTTCTGTTTCAGTTCCTAGCCTACGTTGTCCCAATTTTCGGTGGTTGGCTGGCAGACGTGAAGACTGGAAGATACAAAGCCATCGTGATCGGGGTCTTGATCTGTGGGATTGCCCACATCATCATGATCTTCGGGGCCCTGCCCTCTGTGCTCCAGGCCGGCCCTTCGCATTCTGCGCCCCCGTTTATAATTAGCCTGCTGGTTCTCGCCCTCGGGGCCGGGATCTTCAAACCAAACATTGCCCCCACGGTCCTGGATCAAAATCGCCATCAGAAGGAGTACACCAAGGTGCTGAAGTCGGGTGAGAAAGTCATTGTCGATCCCGAGGCCACCGCGACCAGAACGATGCTTATCTTCTATGCCATGGTGAACGTCGGCGCTTTCTACGCCGTCGCAACCGCCTATTCAGAGCGTTATGTTGGCTACTGGCTGGCATTCCTTCTTGCCGGTATCATCTACTTCCTTCTCCCCATCCTCCTGTTCGCGGTGTACAAGCGGACGTACAAGACCCCTCCGACTGGATCCGAGCTCACCCAAGCGGTCAAAATTATTTCCGTTGCTCTCCGACGAAACCACTTCCGGTTCTGGAAAAAGAACTTCTGGGATGCTGCCAAGCCCAGCGTGCTGGCCGCCGAGGGATGGAACCATATCAACGTCGATTGGGATGACAAGCTCGTGGACGATGTCCGTCGAACGGTCGCTGCGAGTTCCATCTTTTTATACTTCCCTATCTGGAACCTGAATGACGGCGGTATTGGCTCAGCGGCAACCAACCAGGCTGCCGCTATGACGACGAAGGGAGCGCCGAATGATCTGCTGAGCAATTTCAATCCGCTGACCATCATCGTGACGGTCCCGATTCTGAGCTATGTGGTTTACCCTCTGCTCAATCGGTACAAGATCAAGTTTGGCCGAATCAGCCGGATCACATTCGGCTTTATCCTGGCGACGATATCGGGTGTGATTGGCGCGATCGTGCAATGGCGTGTTTACAAGACTTCCCCTGCGGCTATTATGCTTCCACCTGCGACGGTGTTTCGCCCTTGTCCGTCTGGTGGCAGATTCCGAATTTCTCGCTGGGCGCCATCTCGGAATGCTTCTGCAACGTCACCGCCTACGAGCTGGCATATGCTCGTTCGCCAAAGAGCATGAAGGGCCTTGTGATGGCCATCTTCCTGTTCATGACTGCACTTTCCAGTGCGTTGGGCGAGATCCTGGTTCCTGTTACGCAGGACCCGTGGCTCATTTGGATCTGGGCGGCTCCGGCGATCGCGCTCGCAGTGCAGACGGTCATCTTCTGGTTCCGCTACAAGCATCTGAATGACGACGAGTACATGACCTATGAGGAGGATTACCCGAAGCTGGAGGAGGTACAGCAGTCGTCGGCGATAGCGGGAGAGAAGGAGAAGGAGGTTTCATCATAAGCAAAGTTGTGGAGTAACGAAATGAGGCTTAAGCTGGATGAGATGTTGACTGCAGAAGCAGAAGCACGAACATGTCATGTGATAATGGATAGATGGTCAGTAGCCTAATAAAGTGACTGTTGATAGTGTCTACGAATAATGAAATCTATCCTACATATACATATTTCTTACAATTAAGTCGGACGACAGTTTCGTACAGTACAGTATATACGCTATCATCGAATCTTTCTATCTTCTCAGTTCATTCATGTTCTATATCCGAATAGACGGAGGATAGACATGCGCAGGATCCTATCAGGTTCAACTCATTATTTTTCTTCGTTTACTACACAGACCACGAACAACAATATTTTTTACTACCTACGCCCTCCCCAGCAAAAACCCACCATTCTGCAACATCTGAAAAACCCACGATGGGTCATACTTCGCCGCCACAGCCTTCAACCTAGCCAGGTTGTCCGATCCATACGTCGCAAGCGGGTCCTGGTCTCTGGACGCATCGTTCATGAAGACGAACGGCACACTCAGTCCCCCGCTGCTCAGACAGCTGCTGCCACTTCTGACTCGTGGCATTCCCCCCCCCCCCCCCCCCCTCCGGGATCCCTTGATCGACCACGTTGACTGGGATCGGCTGGATGGTGAACGTCTGGTTCGCGCCTGTAGTGTTGTGCACTGCAACAGCCTGTTCTCGCCAGAAGGAGTAGACATCCTTGTACATACAGCTGTGCGTCAATCCTGGAACTCGCACCGCGGTAATCGTGCCTGGCTGGACCACCACCAGGATTCGACAACGCGCTGCCCAGGGTCTGCGTCAGACTCAACACGGTGCCGTTCGTCGGGCCCACCACAGCCATCGTCGCGGAGATGAGGGCTGCTGGTCCGCTGGTTCCGCGTATATCAGGCATCAGCGACGGTGGTTCTCTCTAGGCCGATGATGAGCGCGACTGTCGACTTGATGTCCTCTGAAGCGCCGTTCTGCTGCCATGTGGCAAAGGCGTCTAGAATAGCGGGGACTTGGTCGGTTGTGTATAGGTGCCTAGTTGATACCAGATGTTGTGCATGGGGATCGTGGAGAGGTCGAAACGGGTTACGATTCCTTGACAGAATTGTCAGGACTGATGACTTCGATAGCAAATCTGTTGGACATCATTACCGAAATTGGGTCCTCCACCCTTCAAGGCCCAGAACAGATCTGAGTTCTGCTGTGCATTTGCATCCGTAATAGTTCCGTTTGCCAACACGATCTGCACAAGTCAGCAAGAAATCTACTGGTTGAATGTGTCATTCATACTTCGAAATTCTGGACATTATCTGCAGCAAGACCATACTGTGCCGAGAAATGGAAGTAGCCCCCTGATAGGTATTCGTGTTAGCTGTGCAGAGAATATTTAAATCAATATCAACGGATATCAACCTCCAAGAATAACGCCCGCAATCTTCTTGATCGGGTTCCCAGTTTTCTGCGACTGGTATGCTGTGAGTCTGGGTCCTTTGGCCGTGTGGTTTTGTCGCGCTGTGACGATCTCCGGTTATCAGGAACATACCGCCATGCCGCCTGTGTCCGTCTACGTTTCTGAGGTTGAGGGGCAAGACGTGCGTCGACAAGATCCTGACACGTTTCCTTGGGATGAAACAAAAAACGATTCGGCAGTCCAGAGAATTGTTCGTCGTCTGAGGCATGCTGGTGCTGACTCGGAGAGAGCCATCAGCGCCACAAAAAAGGACGCCGATGGGGATGACATCGAAGTCAACGCCGTGCGTAAACAGATGGAGAAGGGCAGGGAAAAGAAAGACAAAAGAAGCAGGCATATGTCGCCAGTCCGGCCACAGGAACTGACCGGGGAAGCCCAAACCATCTGGACGCCGTCGACGATCAATGACATCACGGTCCACTTGGACATGGACATCGTGGACGACGTCGAGAGTCTGCTCGAGGAATTTTCGCGGCTGAAGAGGCTCGGACATTTCAAAGCCGCCGAAGAGTACTTCCAAGCCAACCTTCGGAGCTTTCGCGATTTTCCGCCGATGACCGTGGAATACGCAGATATGCTATTCGAGCAAGGCGCTTCTGAGCGTATCCAGGGGCTGACATTGACAGAAGATGAACCACGTCCCGTATCCTATGCGCAAGATGATAAATACCTCTTCTATCGGGCCAATTTCGAGCTTATCAAAGCGCTTGCTGGCATTTATTCGCACGGTGCCATGGTAGAAGCGCACCAGAAGGTTCTTGATTGTAAAGACGCCATTCGTGTGCTGAGAGCGCAGATGCAATCAAACGACCACTTGGATTCAGCGAGGGTAAGTTGCAGCAGCTCCCCACGCCCGTGTTATTTATTAATGAACCGTCGTAGGTGCAAACAATCCGGTACGCGCTGAGGATTCTATCGTGCTTGCATGCTGTAAGAACCGCTTTGCTGCAGCAATGTGCTGTTGGGTCGGGGGTGAGACCCAATCTGAAGTCAAGGCAGTGCTCACGCTGACCAAAGTGTCGAGAACAGCAAGGTATGTGGATTCATCGTAGTTCTGGACTGCCCAGTCGTCCAGGAACTTGACAAGGGCACCATCCGAATCGATATCGACGCCGAACAGCCAGTCCCACACATCATATGGGCCCTCCGCTTCCACGGCAGCAACGAGAATGTCTCGCATCTCCCAGATTCGTCCCTCCGACAGGAGAAGCCGATAGATATACCACCAGTCTTCATAGAAGTTCAAATCGATTTCGGACACGAGATCCGAATCGAGCACCAGGCGGAATCCTGGCGACGTGCCTCAAAGAGAACAGCCCCGAGCTGGTCAAATCACGCCCGTACATCCGGTGGGTGCTTGCCGAAGAGGAGCTGGCTAGGAAGGTTACCTCCGAGTCCGACCTCAAGCAACATCTGAGCAAGTTTCCAGGACTGACTGTGTGGAGAAGTCCGGTTCCCATTTACGTCCCGCTAAAGTCTGAGAATCCAGGATGGCCAGTTTCAAAGACGCCCACTCTCTCCACTGGATTCCTCGAGACTGGGCTCCAGGCAGCACGGGAACTGGGGGGGCTACGAGACCGACGCCGTTTGTTTAGGAGAGCTGATCTATCACTCTCCAGAACCGAGCGATTTATTCTCCCAATTGTCGTCCTTGCAACAATCTGTCCAGGGGAATAAGCTTGGCTACCAGCAGACCTGCCTCTCTAAATTTCTGCTCGCAAGGGAAGATGTATCGCGTCAAGGTTTGCTTCGTGAATTAGCAGAGATAAAGGCGGGAGACTTGGGTGTTTGCGAAAGTCCTGGATCCCCTCTGATCGATTGGTGTGAGATCATGGTGAAAAGAGCCATTCACCAGTCCTTAGGACCGGACTCAGTGGATGTGAAGAACTCGCGGTTCACGGGGAAGGTCCCGGCTCGAGGTCTTCCAGAGCAGATAATACATGCTCTGGTGGATCGCAGCCTAGATACACTTTGTGACATGGGCGTACTGGACAGGGAAAGCCCGAAGGACGACCAAGATTCCGGCCGGAATCCCAGAGAAAGTCGCGTGAGGAGGAAACCGAGCGACGAGGAGATCAAGATCATACGTCCAGAACCAGATCCCTCACGATGTCTCGCATTGCAACGATCGATGTCTTTAGTCGCCAAATCTCACTCGGTGGAGGAGCCTGGCGAGGGCACTGCACCTGAGACCAAGATCAAGGGAGTTTCCGCCAGCGGTGAGGTCTCAAAACAAACTGGTACCTTTGATGCTGCCAACGGGAAGGTTGACGACGTAGAAGCCGTAAACAGAGAGAAGCAGCCGACGGTCAGCATCACCCTTGATGATGGTAATAATGGCAAGACACATGAGAATGAGGATGACGAAACTCGGAAGAATAAGAGCCAGAGCAAAGGCAAGGACGACAATAACAGACTGTCAACCCCTCCTAGTAAGTGCCTCGAGATGTATCCACTAGAAAGGAGCCCCGTTGTTGACAACTAGCTTATAGAGAAACCGGCGACGACCGTCGAGAGTGCGGCTGAGAGTACAGACAGCAGCTGAGATGGATAATGGAGGTCTGGGCTTTTCCTGAGCGAGATGCTTGACGAGGAACGAAGGAAGGATCCTCCGGAGATCCATACACGTGCTGGACCATGGACTCCCCATGTGACTTGGGAAGGGGACCAATGGTACGTCGTCATACCATGACATAATCTTTCATCGTCTCTTTCCTATTCTGATACTTCATAGATAGCATCGTAGATACTAGTAGTGTTTTTGCTCGGACGACATAATATTCCAGTACCTATAGCTGAGTTCGCTTGATCAAAGAAGGCCCATTCTTGAACCGGGATCACTATCAATCGATGGATTCCTCCCTCTTAGCTATAGCCAGCGAGATATTAAAAAAAAGGCTTATTATAGTCTGCAATAAAATGTTTGTACGTATTCAGTGATAAAATACTAACAGTTGGCGATCACATGTTGTTAAATAGTAAAAGAAAGAAGAAAAGAAGCTATAAGGAAGTAATCTGTTTAAGTCCTTTGACATTTAACCTCGGATATTCCCATAATATGATGGTTATATGCCAGAAGCTTTGCACGAGCCAGTTTGTGCTGAGGTTACCCAGTTTGCTACATATTTAGGCAGAAGAGGCAATTTTTCTTTTGGGCATATGGCTTCTTGTTTTCTTTTTAGCTTGAAAGCCTTTTTCTAGCTTGAAGTGAGGACAGGACAGAGGACACAGAAAGCGGCGTCAACTGACGCCGAGAAGAGCATCATTCCCCCTACTTACAGACTATAGATGTACGTACATACATACCTATTGGACCTAAGACCAAGCAGATAATTTGAATTCATATCAGTGTGTCTGTTTTCCAGTAACTAATTAGTTCCAGCGATACGCCCTGCCCTATTCAAGCCAGGATATACCTAGCTATAGATCCCTAGCAAAGATTCCTATCAGCCGCTGACCAGGGTGTCATTGTCAACAACAAGACAGGGATTGTAGATTCCCGCTAATGCATCTGATTACAGTATTCCAGTACGCTTACACCATGCATGGCTGTATGGCTGTATGCACGGCTGAAAGAGGCAGGACGGAGGGATGCCCAATTAGGCAATTCATGAGCGCCCACCACCCCCCACCCTCTGTCAACTTGACAGGGAGGGTAATAGCGAATCCTTCAATCCTGCAGTAATGTAGCATTTCTCTGGCTGATGTAAGAAAGAACGAAGACGAAGACAGAGATGCCATCATACCCCACCTTACCTTACCTAAGCTTTCTTACTGCTTCTTCTCCGGATGCATTATTGCATTGCAAAAAAAAAGAGCCGTCTCGCAGTTATCCTCCATCATTCGCAGCGAAATGTCCTCCTCATCGTCACCACCCTTGATCCCGCCCCCCACACAAATCGACAATACGCACAAGGTGTATTCCGTCACAATAGCATGTATCGTCCTGGGCGTCGTCGCCAGCCTGTTTGTCCTGCTGCGTCTTGGACAGCGGCTGTACGCCCGCGCGTTTGGGCCGGATGACTATGCCATTATCCCTGGAGTGGTGAACAATTAAGCTTTTCTCTTTTCCCAAGGTCCATCGTCGACTCGTTGACACGATTAGTTGTTCTACATCGGCTGGACCGCGATGGCTGGGTACGTCAATCTGCATGCTGGAGTCGGCAAGCCGCTGTGGGAGATTACACTGGGGGAGTATTCTGTCTGGTTTAAGGTATACACATGTGAACATACAGAGAGAGCAAGCTGAATGCGTAGGGCATCATCGGCTCCGCCTGGCTCTACCCAGCCATGACAGCCTCAATCCGAACCTCGATCCTCCTGTTCTACCGCCGCACGTTCGGCACGACGCAGCCGCGCATGAAACTCGCCGTGTGGATCATACTCGCCCTGCAGGCCGTCTACCCTGGTCGTCTACTCGATCCTGCCGGCTTTCATCTGCCGGCCACTGTACCTGGCATGGCACTCGCTGCAGCGCCAGCAGTACTTCAACGACTGGTACTACTACTACACGCAGGTGGCGCTGTACAGCACCAGCATGGCTTTTGATGCCATCCTGCTGGTTATGCGCTGTATTCTATTTTCAGGCTGCAGTTGCCGATGAGGAAGCGTATAGGTGTGGCTGTGATGTTCATGTTGGGTGCTGCGTGAGTTGACCGGCAATATATTTTCACGTACTTGAAACTGGATTTTTTTTTTGAAACTTAATTTAATTTTTTTATGCCTATCCTCAGCGCAAGCATCGCCGCCGCATACAAACTCGGCATCTTCGTCTCACAAATGCAGCGCTACACGGACATCGACCCGAGATGTAAACCACCACCCACCGACCCAATCGTCCTTTTTTTTTTTAGTTCCATCCCCAACTGAAGTGATTACAGGGCTCTACTACGAAATGAGCAGCCTCATCCCCCCACAATTCGACAAGTACGGCACGACCTTCTGGATCCCGGCGCAGGTCGAGCCCGCCGTCGCGCTGATCGGGACCTCGCTGCCGGCCATCAGACACTTTTTCGTCACGACGGCGAGGCAGATGTCATTGTCGTTGCTGTCGGGGTCGACGTCGTCAGCGAAGCAGGGGAGTAATAATAGTAATTCAAATTTAAAGCAGTCGAGGCGCGCGCTCAATCTGCGGTGGTTGAACGGGGAGGATGTTGCGCTGAGGAGTGAGTATTTTGAGCTGGACGATAATTAAGAGGTGCGGATGAAGTTGATGGAATGATATTTTTCATTTATTTTTGTGTGTGCATGGATGTGTTTGGTCGAATGGACGGCGCATAATGAGGAGACGGTTTTGATGGTTAGGGTTAATTGACCACGGGAGTTGGATGAGATGATTCATTGTATATAAAATCGATTGGTCGAATTATTTAATCAAGTCATTCACATATATCTCATTCAAATACATGTATATATCTATCATTCGATTCTCTTCTAGCGGTTCAACTTAAACCCCCCAGACACCAACTCCTGAAACACCAAATCCGGATCATACACTCGCTGGACCTCCCTCAACCGCCGCACATTCTCTGCCCCATAATGCCCCAGTACATCCTGATCCCAGCTGGCATCGTTCATGAAGATGTACGGCACATAGTCGCCCGCCGCCCGCGACGCCCGCTCGATGCGGTCCTTGATGGCGCGCGTCGCGTTGTACGCTGTGGCGTCGTCGCTGGCGAACTGCCAGCCCGTGTCTAGCACGAACCACGTCTGATTGACGCTCTGCAGGTCCAGCGCGTTGCCGTCGCCGCGGTCGTTCCCCGCGAGGACTAGACTGGACGAGATGGGCTGCAGACCCAGCGCCATGGTCCCCGAGGTCAGCGCCTTGAGCGTGGCCAGTTCCGGCGCCGAGGTCACGATCGTCGCGATCTCCTGGTACAGCGAGGCGTTGGGCGTGAAACTCGTGGCGAACCAGTCCCAGCGCGGGATGGGCGGCACCATCTGCCAGCTCAGCATCTCGGTCAGCGTCTGCAGCTTGGTGGTGTCTGCGGTCGTGGAGATGCTGTAGAAGGGCTCAAAGGCTGGCGGCGAGGCCTCCGGCTTGAGATAGACCATGTTCAGCACGGCGCCGACGCTGGCGTTCGTCGTGAAGGCCTGCAGCATCAGGTTGGCATAGGGATCCTTGTTCGGCACCGACTGGTACTCGGTCATGGCGGCCATCAGGGCAGGCAGCTGGTCGAGCGAGTACTGTTTGACGCCGCCCCAGACGTTGTGGATGGGGTAGGTGGAGAGAGTGAACGCGATGACAATAGCTATCGTAAGTGTAAGAGCAATTCGTTGGCCTGGAGGATGGCTTCTTACCAAAATTGTTGCTTCCTCCCTTCAGGGCCCAGAAAAGATCCGCGTTGGACGTCACATTGGCGTTGACAGCCGATCCATTAGCAAGGACGACCTATCGAGTCAGCAGGTCTTGTATACAGACTGATAAAATGGATATACCTCGAAATTAACCACATTGTCGCACGCAAGACCATACAGATCGGAAAGATACCACAGACCACCTGCAAATTAGCAAGTCAAAAATTTACACACTCATCTAGCTGGAGATACTCACTCCCAAGGATAAGACCTCCCACGCCGACATCCAACACCCTCCCCCCGACAACAGTGACATTGAACTTGTCCAGCTGCCCGTACACATCTCCCCACTTCAGGCCCGCGCCGACGGTAGCGATATTGCGTGCGGCATCATACACGACCTCATTGAACCCGGCCATGTCGATCAAGACGCCGTTGTTGATATTGGCCGCCAGCGGCGAGGGCATATGGCCTCCGGAGCGGATGGCATAGGGCACATGGCTGGCGGTCAAGATGCGCACGACGTGCTGAGTTCGGACGTGTTGGCGGGCTGGACGATGCAGGTGGGCTTTGCCCAGGCGGTTGCCGATCTGGGATGTTAGCTATGCAATCTACGTTTATATATGGATATATTGACAGTTAAGTAGATAGGTAGGTAGATACAGGCGACACATCAATTCTCCTCACTCAGAGCAAGGTACTCGCTCTGCGAAGGCACAAAAGTGACATTGCCAAGCACAGCCTGGAGCTGCCGGCACGATGCAGCTGCAGAAGCAGTCTGGTTCTGCGCAGCTGCGAGGCCCTGCGTCGGCAGAAGAGACAGGACCCCGCAGAGGATCTGCAGGGAGATTCGGAAAGCCATCTAGTTCGTTGCATGTAAGAGTATCAACTGCCCTCCTCTTCCTCTTCCTCTGCTTGGATTGATTTATATCATGATTTCTCCGTCTGTCGTGCCATCGCGCCTTCTGTTCGTCTTCAGCTGCTCTTAGCTTGGCCATGCCAGTAAGGCCTGCTCTTAGATCACTCTGAGGTTGCAATTGCAATAACACACGAAGGTGCATGCCAGGCCTAGCATGCGCCATCCAAGACTGCAATTAACTTGCATATACCTACATTATACATTTGGCCCCCATAATCAATCTGCCCTGTCAACAGCGAGGCTCTACAAGCATAGGAATTGCCGAAGCCTTGTCCAGGCCGTGTGCTAGCTAGTCGTTATCCCTGTAGCCTTAATCAAGGCCTCTGGCCAGGGGGCCTAACCCAGGCTTCTAAATTGATAGAAAGATGTTGAGTCAACAGTAGAGGGTTCAATCTATTTCCCTCGTATTCAGGGAGAACTAGTGCAGGCGTACCTGTGGTTTGCGAATGTCATGGCAGGGAGATTAATTTATTTGAACGCTCATCTTTACAAATAGTCTATATGGAATGATTATTAAAAGACTAGGATCCGGATGGAGGACGCCTGACGTAAACCAGCTGTATTCAACAGACCATCCTCCAGACCCTTCTATCTAACTTATTCCGTTATTCCAGTTGTACTACCTTCATAATATTAACTATTATTAGATCTTTGGTAAGGAATTTTATACAAACTTGCCTTGAATAATAATAATTCAATAAACTCTACAGAAAGTAAGTAAACTTGTTATTCTAATATTTTTAAAATAGGAAACTGTATTTACCTAAAAAGCCCTAATATAAAAAATTAAAATCAAACCTTTCTTATAAGAAATAATACCCTAAGCTATTCTCGAATCAAGTTCGACAATGCTGATAAATCAATCAATCCTCTTCTCTTCGGATCTTGTATTTTTCATGCTTGGTTAATTAATGACTGACTGTATTTCCATTCCCAGGCTTCTTTCTTTGTTTGTCTGTGGCACAGCACAGCACAGCACAGCACAGTCGTAATTCCTGCATTCATGCATGCATTGCAGGCAAGGATACATACCCAGCTTGTCCCCATCCAAGTGTTGTCTGTGTTGTCATTGTTAACAGTCCAGCAAGGCTGTGTGTGCTGTGCTGTATCTTGACCAGCTTGCTTCTCTCTCTCCTTCTGTATACTACCCTCATCTCCCTCATCCCTCTGTCAACCATGCCAGGCACAATCCTCATAACCGGAGCCAACAGCTCCCTCGCTATCCCCGCCATCCAGCACCTTCTTTCCACATACCCAGAGTACACCGCCGTGCTGACCGTCCGCAACACGGCCTCGACAGACGCCAAACACGAACAAGCTGCTCGAAGCCATCGCCAGATACTCCAGGGGGGAAACGTCAATCCGCCAGCTCGATCTCGCTGATCTCTCGGCCGTGCACGCTTTTGCAGATGCAAAGGTCAAGGACGGCAAGCTTCCACCTCTCGCCAGCATCGTCTGCAACGCCTACTACTGGAATCTTGCTGGTAGTGAGGTCGAGCGCACGCCCGACGGCTACGAGAAGGCCTTCCAGGTGAACCACATCGCGCACGCGGCGCTTGTCCTGCGCTTGCTGGGCAGTTTCTGCTCAGAGGGCAACGCCCGCGTGGTGCTCTTCAGCAGCGACGCGCACTGGCCTGGCAAGAACAGTCTCGAGAAATACCCCCCATCCATCCCAGAGGATCTGGAGCTGCCGATGAAGCCGCCTCCGGACCAGACCTCGGATAACGTCCTCGGAAGGGGCTTTCAGCGATATGCGGTCTCGAAGCTGGCGGTTGTGATGTGGATGTGTGCGTTGAATCGGTACTTAGAAAGAGTATATCTATATATAGCGTCTATTTCCTAGGAATACAAACTGACTGAGCATTTACAGGATCCTAACCTTTACAACATCACCGCCATAGCCATCAACCCAGGCAACCTGTCCGACTCGCGCGCGCTACGAGTCAACACGCCGCCACTGCTGACCTTACTGTCCAAGTTCGTCATCAAGCCGCTGCAGCCGCTTCTCCGGCTGGTGGCAGACCCGACGATGCGCACCGCCGCCGAGGCCGGGGTCGATGTGATCGACCTGGCGACGAATGCGGCGCATCCGGGTGAGAGGGGGTACTTTACCCTTCTCGAGAGGGACACCAGTTCGCCGGAGAGCCTGGACGAGGAGACGCAGCAGCGGCTGTGGACGAAGACGCTGGAGTGGGCGAGGATCACGAGGGAGAATACAGCCCTGGCTATTGATGCATGATAGAGAGGATTCGTTTATTGAACCATAATAAAACCCTAATTTCATATACTATACTATAACATAAAAATTCAATCCCCCTTCCTCCCCACAAACCGTCTCTGAAAAACCGTCGTCTCCATCTTCTGGCACGCCAGCTCCCAGTCCGCCGTCCACTTTCGATAATACGGCTGATAACCCAGCAATCCACCGATCCATCTCCCGAGCACGATGCCCAGGGCTTGGGACAGGCTCTTGCCAAACGGCACCCACGAGGGGAACGACAGGTACGAGCCTCCGGCGTCGAACATCTACAACAAAGGCACCTTTTTTCAGCATGGCCCTCACTTCTCCAGGGTGATGGGGACGTACACACATAACCTGAATCAAATCCAAGCTTCTTCTTCCCCGCAAGACAACCTCATCCTGATACCCGTACCAGTTCTCAAAGAAGATAGTATCGAGCCGAAACAGCCGACTCGTCTCCTGCCCAGCAAGCAGAAAGCGGATGGTCGAGTCTCCGCCAACAAAAAACTGAACCGGCGGATACAGACAATGCGACGACCACGGACGAACACAGAACTCGCCGTCGGCTGCGGACAGGACATGCTCATGGCCCTCAACTTCAACGCACAGCTGACCCTCCAGCACCTCAATGTACTCCTCCTGGTGCGGGTGGAAGTGCAGCGGCGGCTTTTTGCCTGCCAACGCGGCGGGCCACAGGTGCGCGACGAAGGTGACTTCGAAGGCGAAGGCGAGGGCGCGATGGGGGTGCGCGATCAGGCGCGTGGTGATTGCGCCGTTGAAGCTGCAGTCTGTAAGTTGGTTAGCTAGGTCCCTCAGAGACCGTACAGTACATGTACATGTACATGTGTGCGTGGGTACGTACGCGGCGAAGAGTGGCGTGGCAGTTGCAGTGGTCATGATGGGGTGTTTCTGAAACGAGAGTTTAAGATTCAGCTACAGCTGCCGTATATCCTTCCTCAGTAGAATAATCCACAGCATGCACTTAATGCATCAGTATCAATCAGACAATGAATGAACTTAGCGGGGGAAAGCAGTAATTATTAGCCGGGATATGGTTGCAGGTGGCCTTGACTTATGCGGCACAGACAGCGGCGTTGAGCGAGACTCGAGCTGCGCCATATGCAGCTGCAAGCAGGAATCCCTTGGCCTGCATTTATATTAGTACAACAAGTCTAAACTGAACAGCCTACAAGACTAGCTCACAGCTTGCTTGGCACAACAAGGGTATTTATTCTGTTGGCCATGGGCTGCTTCATCCCGGTATACGTAGTATTTATAGTCATGTGCAATCCAGCTCCCAGCCTGTTGGCGTGGGGGAAAAGCCAAGAGAGCTTGTTGATCCTGCGTTGCATTGCATTGCATCCCTCTCACCAATATAATATTAATTAATTCCCAGTCGAACATTCCTGCCAATCGGGCCTTGGCCTCAATTAGGTAGGGCAAATACTCGATCTGGTCCTCTATCTAGTGGCAATAAGCAGGTTCTATCTATAGGCCTACGGAGTATAGAGGGGAGACTTTCTGGTCAATGGAATTAACTATTTTCTAAGGTTTGCCTGTTGAGAGATTACTTCCTGATTCGGTAATTTCCTAATCTACCTACCCAGCTAGGTAATTTGACTAATAAATCCCTAGATACAAGGCTCTACTAGTAAGACCTTATGGTTTAGGGAATACATCGAAACAATCACGTACGATGGCTCCAGGTTAACAGACAGAAACCATCATCAACAATATCAAATTCAAATAATGATCTGATGAGAAAGAAAGTCTCTGAGGACCACTTATGACAAAGCCTAGCCCGAATCTGTCGAGTTCTGGTTTCCAATCTCTGGCATATCAGGAAATTTACGTGAGATTCACCTCATTGAACTGTCTAGACTAGATACAGTGTAGTCAAACCGTCAACCTTGCCCACCTAGACCGAAGAATTACATCTGTTCTTCTACGAATTCAAAGCATTCGGCGGCAGATCGGCTGGCGGAAAGCATCGATCCGGAGTGGCCGAGTTCCCCCACCAACTAGGAAAACTCACACCAGGCACTAGAGGTCATGTTAGCAAGATCCATAACACTAGTATATAGTTTCTACAGGAGGTATCTTACGATTGATGCAAAAGACCAAGACCTGAGCAAGTTAGCATGGTACTGTATATCACGTAGGTGATTACTTACCGTCTGCATCAGCTGAGTGCCACAGTCAAGGCCCACCCCTAACAAGTAGTTGTATTTCCGAAACCACACCGGATGATAGCGATAGACATAGCCCATGCTGAATCATGGTCAGCCATCTCTTCTCTCACAGCTGCTTGGTCACTTACAAAGTGAAAGCCACCAACGCCGAAGTCATCAGATTCGTGGTTGTATACACCGGAAAATTGACTATGCCGTTGAAGAACACCACCGGATTGAACCGAGTCTCAAGCTTCCAGTTAGGCTTCCACCGATGCACAAGCCAGACAAGAAACATGACCGCCGCACCAATCAGGAATCCATAAGGAATCCAATAGTACGGAGAGTCACGGCTAAAAAGAACTTTCGGACCCAGGATGCCCCAGACGACAGAGGTGGAGTAGTAGTTCCTCGTCTGCAGCGCATTCCACGTCGTGGACGGCACCTTGCCAGTCAACTTGGGGCCCTCAGTGTTCAGGATGAATCCTGTTGCGAAGTTAGTTTTCTGCGAATGTCGTTGGATAATTCTACTCACGCATCATCCCAAAGTTGACAAAAGGCCCAACGAACGTCCCCCAGACCTGTCCCCAGAACATCTCACGTTCGGGGATCTTCATGTAGAATCCGAATTTGTAATCCGAAATGAGATTGAGATTCTGCTCGAGGAGCTGCCTGCCATACACGAGGGCCGTGAGGACGGCCGACGGCTGGCCGGGAAACAGGGCACCGCTGATGATTTCGGAGAGAAAAGTCATGCCAACCTGGATGTTGGCAATTCCCCAGAGGATGCCGTTGGGCCAGGTAAAAATAAAGGAAATCAAGCTCGTTACGATGAAGCCCCTACGACGCTGGTCAGAGGACACTGTTAACGACATCACGGACAGGATCCTTACCACCAGGACAGCTGCATCTCGCCTTTATATATTTCAGCAAAGGAGAAAGCAGCACAAATCGCCAGCAGAGCAAGGTACCACCAGTGTGGGACGCGAGGATCGTGCGACATCACTTTGAGATAGGGGTCATCGTAATCCTTGTTCCGGTTGCGAAGCGAATCCAACAGGTTCGTGTACGTGTCTTTGCCGTACCAAAGAATGGCGTAGACTATGGCTGCCGCAGTCCCGGCAAAGCCCCAGAAAAAGTACATGGCATATGACGGCGACCACCGGGGAAGGGAGTACGCATCCATCGCTGTCTTGTTGAGAGTGAACTCAGGGGTCATAATCCTAGAAATGTTGTAGTCCTGTCCACTGGAATCCCAGGTAGCAGTAGACATTGGAGCAAAGTTCAACGCGTCCATCGCGTTGGTGAAGTACAGGATGGGATAGAGCAGCCAGCAGGTGAAGACGGCGCCAGCAACCTGGTGAGCGGTCGACCATAAAGGAGTGTACAGCGGCGACCAGAAAGCGACGTAGTTCCAATCAAAGGAGAAGTTAAGGAGCCCCTAACAACGATCAGTAGAAAGCCCGTCCAGGACAACCATGGGTCGACTTACAAATCCATAAGTCCCGGATCCCAGGACGAATGGTTTCCAGTGGCCATGCCCAAAGTAACACACCAGTGGCACCGAAGCCAGCAGAGGGAAGATCAGTTGAGGAAACCACTCCCAGACGAAGGCTGCACATGCAACGATAGCGAAGAACTTGAGCGCCCTCTTGGTGGCGGCCGGATTCTTGTGCATAGCATTGAACAAGGCCACATTGGGGAGCACACCCGGATAGTACATTTTGGGAGGGCGAACCAGGATGTCGCGATAGAAGCCCACAAGGCCATAGCCAATCATCTGGGTGGTAATCAGGAAGACAATGCCCCAGCCAGCATTGATCTTCCTGCCGTAGTACAGCTCCATGGCCGACAGGGGACCAAGACCATATGCGGTGTAGCACTGGACAGATTGCCACGTTAGTGAAGCGTTTGGATGCGCAGGAATCAAATACTGACGCTGCCCCAGTATGCGACGACGATCAGCGCGTGCTCCTTAGCGTTCCAAGG